CAACAAGAAGAAAAGACAAGAAAACACGGTTAAATCCATAAACAATAGCCGATCGGCTAGTTGCCGATGATGTATCATTTATCTTCGAGCCGATGTCATGTTGGAATCGATCGGCAGTAATGAATGAATAAAATAAGACTAAATCTACTCGATCGGCTGTAGATATTAACGACATATAATCTTTCCTTCGATGTATATTTAAACTAAGTGATTGGGATAGATCGGTCGCCATGCCGAGATAGTATAAATCACTTAAGTCGAAAGATACATTAAAGCAATGATTATATATACGTTTATAGCATAGCCGATCAGATAGGTCTAGCATGTATCGGCTAATACTCCGATACCACTTTATACTAAGATATTAAAACAAGCAAAATATATCAAACAAAAAGCCTAATATACTCTAATGCAATAAGATCTTAATATAAAGGGCATATTTAGCATGAAGGTCATGCATATAAGGTATAAGATAGCTAAACCAGATAAGATCGGCTGAAACCCCGATGCTATCTTTCTCGACAATCATAAAGCAAGCCAGATATCACAATTATAGATAATAGATCAAACTCAACCGATGCAGCATTAAGCATAAAGATAACTGTAAGATCTAAACAAGATGATGAAAATCTCTAAGAGATGATAGATAAACAATATAATCTAGATTAATAACGATATCTAACTCTATCGGCTACTTTCTAACAGTAAAAACCAGCCGATTGTAAGTTACATAGCGCAACTAATAAAGATTATGAAGTATATATGGTAACTCGACGAATTACATAAACAAGATTAGAGTGTCATAAAGATGGAAGCACTAATCTCGAGAACGCAAACCGCCATGACAAGTTTACCTCTAGTTGAAGATCGAAACCGATGCAGCTCAACCCGAAAGCAAGAACTTGTCAAAATAGAACGAAAGTAAAAGGGGTGGCGATGCTCCGAAAGTGTTATTGAACTGTTGTTGTTGATTACATGGGTTCGGTTTATATTTATACCCGAGATACATGATATGTCCTTGCTGGACACGACTATCATCTCTAACAAACTCTAAGATACACATAAGTCTTTACGACAGACTCTTGCCCAAGCATATCTCTAAGGAAATTACAAAATATCCTAATTAATAGATACAATTGCCTATCCGAGAGCTTATCTCCGTAGTGGCAATCCTTGTGTAGCACGTTCATCGATTCTAGAAGCAGTTTTACAACTGTCCTTAACAGAATCGGCTGTATCGGCTGTCCTCTGTGTGCTCCATCTCAGCCGATGCAAATCCCAGCCGATGCCTTCGCAGCCGATGCATACTCTGTTCTTCGAATCTAGCTCTTTGCCGAATCCACTTTGATTCCAATGCCGAACCTGGTTCATACCTTACCAAATTTGGTCGTTAACAACGGCACACATTCAAAAAGCAATCTCTTGATTCCTCATTTGTATTATTCTCTAAATTAGTAGAGTTTAGGCTTAGAATAGTTCTTCGGTTTCCTAGTCTTCTTGAAGATTCGGGTATGTCTTTAATACTTTACTCTCTTTGTAAGACTATGAACTTAGTAATGAAATTACCTTCTGTATTCATTTGTGTTCGTAGTTTATATATTGCTTTATCAATTATGACTAGTTTATACCTGTTTCATAAACTATATATGTTTAGACTAGTTGATCTATTCCACGACATCGGTCCAATCATACTAACTGGTTGCACAAGTTATTACTTGTCCATTCGAAGGGTGGGAGTCCCGCAGGAATTAGTGTATTAATTTGCAATGTAAGCATGGTGCTTAGATTGATAAATCGTTGGATGCGAGTATACCCCATAGAAATGTAGAGGTAGGCGACAAGTGGTGATAGCCTTGTCTGTCCTTTATTGTCCTCCACGTTTGTATATGATGTAAGAGTTCATAAAATAGCCATCAAAAACCACACTAGCAGACCAGCATGGAGTGGTCTCTCGGTAGTGCCTATGTACCTAGAAATAAGTCCTAGCCATGTATATGTATATGAATGTTATATCGACTAAACATGACAAAGATAGAAGTACATATGAAACCATAACTTTCTTCTGTCTTTCTTCACTAGCTAGCTAGTTTATTTATTGAGATGATTCTTATGTGCGTCACACTTTCATATTATTATCATTATGATTTACTCATGTTAGATTATGGTATATTAATAGCATGATTATGAATATATCGATCCATTCTTTACACCGTCGTCTTCCTTATGGAGAAGGAATAATGATACCCTTTTTTTTGCGGGGAAATAACGATACCCTTGGAATACTTCCTGATGAAATACTATAGCGGTATCCACACACTTGCGAATTTATCTGTGATCGTATTGAATACCAACACATGTGCCTCCGAAAGGGAAGAGGTCATTGAGTGCAAGCCAAGCTTTTTCTTGGTGGTTTCTTGGCAAAGCAAGCTTCACCAAAGGAAACTGCATGATGTCTAATCTTAGGACCGAGTGGATTACTTGGAGCACAAACTCGCCCTAGGTGGTTGCTTGAAGAGTCCAATGCACCATCAGAGGTTGCTTGAAGAGGAAAAAGGTTAAAAGAGACCGGACTTTTCCTTCTTTTTTTCCATGATTGAACGACTAACGCACACTCACACACACCATTACACAAGCTACACAAGCAACACCACACTCACACCCCACGAATGCCCCTGTTTAACACACGCTCTAAAAGACGGAAACCATCAACAGATCCTTGATCTCACTAAAATCCTGTTGGAAGCTCACCTGCATGTCAATAATATTCATGGGCACCAGGATTTGAACCCTAGTGAGGGGAGTCATGCACCCTCAACTCCCTCACCACACCATCGGTGTTTCCCTAAAAGAAATCTGGCTTTTCAAAGCCCATCAACAAAGACGTAGGATTGCTTAATCCAAACTTCGGTGTCTACCTTGTACTAGTTGTGTTGCTTGCATGCAAGTTTAGTTCTATCCTCAACTAGCTAGATTGTGTAGGAAGTGTGCTTGAGTAGCTCCTCTAGTTTGTATCTTGGTAAATTTCTTGTTAAATTCTCCATGTGTGTCGGATTATCCTACCACAGTCAGACAATCCGAGACTCTTAGAGCTTTATTGTTTTTCACACTAACTGGATTATCCGCCACGGTCCCGGAATGTCCGACTACTCTATTGTCAGATTGTTCGACCTGGTACAAGATTGTCTGGTTAGCAAGTTTTTGCTGCAAGTTTTTGAATTTTGAGGAAACGCCCATTCACCACTATATAGGTCACATATCCGATCCTCAAGACCCTTTTAGGCGACATGTCCATCGAAAATGAGTCACCTATGTTGACTTCTTCAATCTTAAGATATATTGGTCCAGTCTTCAGAGGTGCTCATAAGAATAGGATTTGCGTATGTGCATTAATATGGGTAAGTGTGGACACGTTTATATGAGCGTCTACGTTAATACTGTGTTTTAAAAAAAATAAATCTCTAGAATATATATATGACTTCAATAGTTGTAATATGAACAAGAAAAGCCCATGCAATGCGTACTATTTGATGATTAATTTCTGCAATGCTCTTGGCTCTGTATTTTAGCTTTTTAATTAGATTATTAGTGTGGATTATGTGCTAAGAGCCTGAAAAATATATCTTATCTCTAAGCTGTCTGTTAATTTTATGCCCTAAAATATCTAATTTGCATGTATAATTGTGTAGATAATCCACTATATAAAATCAAAGAGTGTTTGATTGTTATTTTGTGAAGAACAATTGGCATTTGAGATTATTGGTTTTGATATTTGGAGATTATTGGCGAAGTGGTTTTGAAGATGATGGGAATTTTCAAATGATCAACAAGAATTGCTGACAGAGTGGTCCGGTCAGACCGGGCTGTGGTAGCGAGTCAGTCTGTGGAATGTGTGCGGTCAGACTGGCTGACGATGTGTCAGTTTCTAGTTGATTCTTTCGATATCAGTGGATAATTTATGTTTATGGCTTCTAAATGGATACTATGCTTATGTAATACTGTTGTTTACTTACAATGAGTCAAGTTGGTGAAAACTTGTCCTCGGGTATGGTTTCTTGATTAATGCATGTGTAGGTGATTCTTAATGCCTCGGGAGAGTGTTGTCGGTGATGGATCGGGAGTCAACTTGAGAGAAGATGGCCTCCGGACGATTAGGATATCATGCGGAATGCTTAGGCTAAATATCAATGCACGTGGTTGGTGAAGATTCCATATGGCATACGATGGAGATATTGTGTGCGTATGGGATGCGGAGTCGAATTTGGAGGGAGTCAAATTTGGTATAATTGGAGTTTGTAAAGTTCGTTTCTTGTAAGGGAAGGTTTTCTAGGAGATTAAGACTTCTTGTACAAGGTTGGTTCGTGGCTTTAAGCTGCCTACCTCGAGTATAAATAGAGAGGGAGGGTGTGATTTTCCGGTATCGTTTTTGAGAGAGTTGAGTCCAGAGAAAAGTTAAGTGTTTCGAGTTTAGTCGAGATTTTCGTGAGGAGTGATGTTGTTGCACTTTGAGAGAAAAGTAATAAAGTTTCAATCTACTTTGAGAGATCTTTGATTTGTGTTTGCTTGGGTTCGGCGGTTCAACCAGTGGGACACCGACGGTCAGACTGACGGCATCAGGGCGGTCAGATCGGCGGCGGTGACAGACGACAGTAGCGCATCGGGCGGTCAGAACGAAGCAACTCCACCAATCAGACCGGTGGTAATCGAGAGTTCAGACCAGCGTGTCTTCTCCGATTAGACAGACCGCCATCGAATTTGATAGTAACTTTGAATTCCGCTAATGTTTTGGGTTTTGGGTACTACAATCATTCACCCCCTCTAGTTGGCTTAATTCTTGCTATTCGATTCTACACACTATAATAATCTGGTCAATAATATGTTTTCAACTATGCCTAATACTCTTGCTGGGTCGGTTGCAACTAATCGATCAGATTATCACAATTCATCAAATGACCTCGGACATTCGAGAGTTACTAGCCTTGCGCTCCACTTCACTATATACTCCACTTGTGTTGCTACAACTTTACTAAGCTAGCTCAGCAGCTAGTACAACTGAACGTTTAGTCGTTTACTATCCTCCTCCAACGTACGGGCACCATGCTCAACCTCCTCCTCCTCCTCGTGCTAGCCACCACCTCATGGTCACCGGCGGCGAGCGGCCAGGACACCTCCTCCGCCACGGTGAGCCCGCTGAACACGCACTGCAACGCGACCGCCGGCAACCACACGGCCGTGGGCAGCGCGTACCTCTCCAACCTGCGCGCCCTCGGAGGCGCGCTCTCCAGGCGCGCCCTCGCCACCGGCTTCGCGTCGGGGAGCTACGGCGCGGCGCCCGACGAGGTGCACGGCCTGGTGCTCTGCCGGGGCGACTTCACCGGCGGCAACTGCACCGACGGCCTCGCGTCGGCGTTCCGCGACGCCGCGGCGCAGTTCTGCCCGGGCGCCGCGGACGCCACCGTCTACTACGACCAGTACATGATCCGCTACACCAACGACGGCCGCCTCCTCTCCGACCCCGGCGACAACGAGCCGCTCTGGTCGGGCAAGAACATGAACGAGGTCGCCGGTGCCGACGCGGCGGCGCGGTTCATGGCGAAGGCCACGGAGCTGATGAACAGGACGGCCGACCTCGCCGCCTTCGGGTCGTCGTCGTCGCCGAGCCGGTACGCCACGGGGGAGACGTGGTTCGACGAGCAGGGGGTGAGCGTGGTGTACGGGCTGGTGCAGTGCACGCCGGACCTCACCGGCGAGCAGTGCCGGAGCTGCCTCGCCGGCATCATCGCGCAGATGCCGAAGCTGTTCGGCGACGCTTCGTCACGGCCGGTCGGTGGGAGGATCCTCGGAGTCCGGTGTAACCTCCGTTACGAGAAGGATGTCTTCTTCAAGGAGACCAGCACCACTATCAAGCTCAACATGCCCAAAAGTATGTCGTCTTCTCGTTGATTTCAATTCATATATGCACTAGCTCCTTGCATGAGCATGTCCTTGCAAGATTAACTACAGCAATTTAATCATATTTTCAGACAACCATGCATACATAATTGCATATATATCACCTGATTAATGTATGTAATCTAATCCAATATATCTATAAAATTCGTCCCTACTAAATTTTAAGTGTTGTTAATATTATTTATCTCTTCTCTAATTAAATTAAGTCACATCATCTCAATTCATAGCTCTTGAATGATTAACTTATGGTCTAAATTATCTTTCTCATTTTCTTCTCTTATAAAGTCATATCATATTTGTTTGCACACTTATCTCTTTTTCATCTAGCTAGTATCTTTTAATTGCACACTTACTTGCATCTAGAGGGACTGAGCACGATGCTGAAGATCGTCATATTTGGCGTGCCGTGCTTGGTACTGATCATATCCGTGGTGCTGCTCAGGCCTTACATCGTCAAGGAGATAAGAGGCGAGTTAACTAAAATTTCTTTGACTGTTGACCGATATGTTGTTTTCTTGCTCTCTAGTTAATATATATATATACACAAGATTATGGTCAATACTGTATTCTTCATTGTCACTTCATATTGATTTTTGCTTACAATTTGATCTGTGGCAACGACAGAGTTATTGTTGCAGAGGGATCTAGTCATATTGGAAAGGGAAATCGTGAGTGAAAGCGATGAAAGATTTTCACTGTTCAAGTTTTCTAAGATAAAAGATGCCACGGACAATTTCTCCAGGGAAAATAAGCTAGGAGAAGGTGGATTTGGTCATGTTTACAAGGTAAATGCGTATTCTCTAAATATAGTATAAGTACTTCTGTTCCAAAATATAACGGATTTTAGTTATGCATTTAGAGTCTGGACAAATAATTGATCACCAATAATCCTCTAACATGCAACTATATAAATATATATCTATGTTTCATCATCAGGGCCGTTTGACTACGAACCAAGACATTGCAGTGAAAAGACTTGCCCCAAATTCTGCACAGGGATTCAAGGAGTTCAAAAACGAAATTAAACTCATAGCATGCCTTCAGCATAGGAATCTTGTTAGGCTCCTTGGGTGCTGCATCAAAAGCAAGGAGAGGATATTAGTCTATGAATATATGCCTAATGGAAGCTTGGATGGCCTAATTTTCGGTATGCCTCTAACCCTTCAGCAAGAAAGCACGTTTTATTAATTTTTCACTCGCACTAGCTACAAAGTAATATTTGTATATATTCTCAAATTATTTTGGTTCATTAATTAATTGTATTTACTATTGTGAAAAAATATGACAGGAGAGGAAGAAGTGAAACCAAACTGGCATGTGCGTCGGCACATAATTGAAGGGATAGCAGAAGGTCTACTCTATATACATGACTATGCACATGCATGTATAGTCCACAGAGACCTGAAACCTAGCAACATACTGCTAGATCATGAAATGAATCCCAAAATTTCAGATTTTGGTATTGCTAGGATTTGCCTCTCCAGTGTGACAGAATCAAATACGACAACAGCAATAGGAACATTGTAAGTATATCTACCCTTTAATTTTATGTGAGGCACTTCCCTATCATTTTAGGATTTGTAGTTTTCTAGCTCGCTAGTCTTCAATCTGCTGAGAAGTTTGTACTTACACATTAATGAACATTTTCCTTTGAAGCCATGATAGTATATATAGCTAGAATACTCACCATTGTTTTACAACATGTAGATTCCACATTAAATTTGTATATTTTAGTACAAACTAGCATGGTGGTCTGCGCAGATTACTCGGTTAGCATCATTATATTTTCTCTCATATAATAGCATATATATTTTCTCAATGTATTATTCAAATATATTAAAATGGCAACATAATTTTAAATTTTGTACTAACTTTACAAAACTACTAATGTGTAATATTTATATTCTATTTTATATACGTGTTAGTTATTAATTATTTTTAATATCAAATTTTAGTTATTTCTAAATTATATTCCTATATAGACTCTAGACTCGTATTTCAATATTTCTTTTTTTAATTCCGAATTTTCGTTATCTGTAAATTGTATTTCTATATAGACTTTAGGCTCTTCTTCCAATATTATTTATTTTTAATTCTGAATTTTTATTTTTTCTAATTGTATTTCTATGTGGACTCTAAAGTCATCCTTCAATATTCTTTAATTTTTAATTTTGAATTTCAGTTACTTTTAAATTGCATTCATATATTGACTTTAGACTCTTCTTTCCATATTTTTTTATTTCTAATTTTAGTTATTTGTAAATTGTATTTTTATATGAACTCTAAACTTTACTTTTAATATTACTAGAAAAATACCCGTGCGTTGTAACGGGTGAAGTCTATGTTAATCTTATTAGTGTTATATGGTTTAGTTAAGATGAAATTCACTGTGGGAGTTCGCTTGGATATATATATATTTAGAAAATCATGAGCTGCGGTTAGGAGTCCGATCGTCTCAAGTTAGCATGCGAGCTTTTTTAAACATATTTCTTATATGATTCCTTATGTATTACCAAAAGTGAACGATTTTAAAAACCGGCTCAAATACAAATATGTATTTCCAAAAGCAAACGAACTTAGAAACCAACTCATACACGGATGACGTACCAAAATACCGAAAAAAACATCTTCAATTTTTACAATATTAGAGATTATGTTTATTCCGAATTTTAGTTAGTTTTAAATTCCTATATGGACTCTATACTCTACTTCTAATATTCCTTAGTTTTAATTCCTAATTTCTATTATTTCTTAATTATATTTCTATATGGACTCTATACTCTTCTTCTAATATTTTTTATTTTTAATTCTGAATATCAGTTATTTATAAATTGTATTTCTATATGGACTTTAGTCTCCTCTTCCAATATTCCTTATTTTTTAATTCCGAATTTCAACTATTTCTAAATTGTATTTCTATATGGACTCTGTTTTTCTTTTTCTCCGATTAATATGAGAATTTCTAAGCCATGAGAGCGAACGTGGAGGCTCCTTTTTCTATTTCTTTAATAAGTTAATAGATTACACTAAGGTCGATCTTAAATCATCTCATAGAGTATATATATATATATATATATATATATATATATATATATAGACACACTCAAGAAGTGATATTTAGTATTACAAAATGCATGTGGAATACTAGGTAGAATTGACTAGTGTAAGGAATCTTCACCCCTCCTATTCTATAATCATGACAAATCCTTATCACTTGTCAAGATCTATGTGGACTTATTCAAACAAGTGATATACTCAGGTTAAATGACTAATTTTACCATTCTCGAGAAAATATTGGAAGGTATCTGTAGCGCCCGTTCCGTCGTGGCGCCTAGCGGAAAAATTATCTCTTAAAAACCCTAATTGCGAAATTTGTTTCTTTGCTTGTTATCTAGTGACCGTACCATCTCAGATCTCAAATCCCCGATCTATCGTCGAGTTCAATTCCGAATCCAAATCCTTCCAAATCAATTCCTCCGCAAAAGTCTATTTTGCCTCCCCCGGGTTCGATGGGCCGAATCTCTCTCGGCCCATCTTCCCCTCCCCTCCCCGGCGCCCTCTCTCTCTCTCTCTCTCTCTCTCCCTCCGCTCCGCTCCGCCCGCGCGCCGCGTGCGCGCGAGCGCGTGAGCCGCGCCGAGCGCCCCTCCTCCGCTCCCTCCGCCCTGCCCGCGCGTGTGTGAGCCGCCGCGCCGAGCGCCTCCCTCCCCCTCCGCTCTACGCGCGCGCGTGTGCGTGAGCCGCCCGCGCCGAGCCGAGCCGTCCTTTTCGCTCCCTCGCTGCCGCTCCCCGCGCGTCGTTCGCGCGCGCGCCCGCGTGGTCGTCGCCCTCGTCGCGTCTGCGCCGCCCGGCCCCGCTGCCCTGCCGCGCCTGCAACCGCGCAGCCGCTCGGCCCCGCAAGCCAACGCGCGTGCCCGAGCCGCGCCGCCCGTTGTTTCCCGCGCGCGCGTGCCGTGGTGGCCGACCGCCTGGTCGCCGCCGCCGTCAGCCTCTGCCGCGCCTGCCGCCCGTGTCGCCGCTCCGCTCCAAACCGCCCCGCCGTCATCGCCGTCGTCATCGCCCGGCCCCCGCTACTCCGCGCGCAAGCTGCCAAGGGACGGAGGCAGAGCCCCTCCCCTCCCTCTGCCGCGTCGCCCCCGCTCCCCTCATCCTTTTCCCAAAGAAGCAAAGGGTGAGCTCCCCTTTCTCTCCCTCCTTTTTCCCTTTTTCCCTCTCGCCGGCGTCACCTCCTATCGCCGTTTTGGCCGCTAGCCGGAGCGCCAGCTCGTTGGCTTGACCGTCCAATGTCGGTTCCCCTCTCCCAAACCGACATTGCCGCCCCTATAAACCAAGGCGCCCTCCCATCGATTCCCCCCCCCGTTTCGCTCATCGCCTCCGTGCCATTGCCGCCGCCTTCCGTGCTCCGTCTCGCCTCCGCCGTTCATCGCCAAGCGTCGGGAGAGCCGGTGCGTTCGTGGACGCGGAAGGGGACTCCGGGCGCGCCCTCTCCTTCCTCTTCCCCGGCCCGAGGCCGGAGAGATTACTCCCGCGCCGTCGGCCTCTCGTCACTGCGCCCCGTCTCGCACGGTAGTGCATCTCCCCGTTCTCCCTCCTCGTTCCATCTCTCCCCCTTAGTTTTCGGTAGTAGCTCGAGTAGCCTCCCCGTAGCTAGCCGGCGCCGCCCCGACCGTTGCCATCGCTCGCCGTGTGCTCGCCGCCGTCGCCGCCCGTGCTCCGTAGCACCCGCTCGTCGCCGGCCTCGCTCGGCGTAGCTCCGCCCAATCCGACGCTAGCAGCGGATTCCCGCGGCCGCGTAGATGCTCTCGCCGCCGGGAATTGGCCCCTCGTGACCTCGTCGCCTTTTCCCCCTTCTTCCGCCGCCGCTTGCCGCCGCCGCAATTCGTCGCCGTCAAGCTCCCTCCGGCGAATCCGAGCCGTTGGCTCGTCTCCCCTTGTCCTGTGCAAACACCCGGTGTGCTCGCTTTCGCCTGTATCGCCGTGGTTCGCTCCGCCGCTCGCCGCTGTCGTCCGCCGTCCGTTCCGGCCGGCGTCGTCGTCTACCTCCCGCTGGCCCGTGTGGCTGCCACGTAGGCGCCACCTCGGCGCCACCTCGGCCGCGACCGGATCAGCTGACCCAGCCAGCTGCTCCCTCCGTTTTTCCTCCCGTGCGCATGGTCCGCGGTGAGCCGTGAGGCTGCGCGTGGGCCCGCCGCATCCGTTCCTGCGCGAACCACGCGCGTGCACCGCGTCCCAACCCCGCCCGCGCGCGTGCGCCACGTGCTCCCTCCGCACGGTGAGCCGAGCCGCTGACTAGCGGGTCCCACCCGGGACCGCGCGTGGTGAGCCCGGTCCACCGACCCCCTCTCTCCTCCCCTCCCGCGTGCGCTCTGGGCCGCCTTTTGGGCCGGCCGGCCCATTAAGACTCGGCTGAGCCGCCCCAAATCTCTTGGGCCGCACCCTAGCCGCCCGAGAAAAGTCTATATTCCCTCCCTCCTTTCTTTTCTTTTTTTTCTTTTCCAAAAAGGATTTAATTAAATCCTTTTCCTTTAGACCAAAAATCCAATAATCTTAGAAATTCAATATCTTCCCAACCGTAAGTCCGTTTGACTCCGTTCAACTTCCAAAATTTCTCAAATCTCGAGATCTATCTAATGGCATGCTTAGAGGTCATTAATAGGGCTTTATTTTCGCCGTTTGTTGAGTTGTCCCGTTTCACGTGTAGTTTCGGAGCCCGAAGTCCCGCAGTGCGAGGATTTCGAGGATCAAGCTCCAGATCTCGAGCAAGGCAAGCCACCTTTGAACATCTTGAGCCTATATTTGAAATTTAATTATGTTGCTTGAAAAATATTATGCATTGTTAGGATCGCACTTAATCTGTTTGCCCCGTCTGCGAGGCAGATTAGTGGGCATACCTAATTTGTTGCATTTGATCCTTCCTTTGTTAATTGTTATATCATGTCCCCCTTGTATCCATCTAGTTGCGTCTCGATATTCTTGCACCCAGTGCGAGTATCGATGGACGCCTTCAAACTTAATATTTGAATAACAACTTGGGTAAAACTTGGGTTTTACAAAGACTTGGAAAACCCGACACCTGGGTCGGTGCTTGTGAACTAAATGAATTTCCAAAACCGCGGACCGGGGAACGTACCGGGTGTACGGTTTCCCGCTCTCGCACTTAAGGACCGTTTCCTTGGAATTTCATCCAAACATAAGACAAGTACGACCACATGGGTGGAATGGGACACCCCTGGCTGAGTAACTAGCTTATCAGGGGAGCCTTGATGCCGAGAGACATGTGGATTCGCTGGGGTGGTGTCGGGGAGGACCCCCGGGCTTCCTGGCACAGTATGGTCTGGGACCTAACCTGTTGTTGGTCTGGGACCCCTCTTGTCGGCATATGGTAAACCTGTGTCGGCTTTCGAAATGCCTTGTCATGAAAGTTTGGAGGTCTCCCGACGTGGCTGATCCCCACGGGCTGGGTGATCCAGGTTAGTAATGTCGTGTGGGTAAAGTGTACTCCCTCTGCAGAGGTTAACAAACTGT